GTACCGGCGCCGTCACCTTGTTTTAGCCCCCGCGCGAGTGAATGTTAAAATTAATGGTCGTCAGGGAGATGTGAGGAGGTTGAAAGTGATGCAGGATTTAGGGCATCAGCCGTAGTGTCCCCTCATGCTTCCTTCACAAGTCTATTAGAGTATGCCCCCAAACCCTATGCTAATCATTCAGGCCCCTGTCGCGCAGCCTACAACCCCAACTGCCTCCGTAACCAGCAGCACAGCACTTAAGCTCCCTCGACGCACTGGAGTCTAAACTCTCTTCCCTCGACTGTAGGTCCTGCACATCTTCTAGCCGTCCAGACGGCAAACCTTGGAGCTGCCCAATGACTTCAGCAAGCAGCACACATCAGAAACAAGAGTCTACCACCAGCTACATCATTAAATCACGGTGAAGATAGGGTCCATGCCCAAGAAGGAATAATTCATGAGTCAACATGAGAGGCAGGAGAGAAGAACACGCAGCATGCAGGCAAACGGACAGAGGCACGAAGGTCAGCTTCCAGCGTGGCTCAGAGATGACAAAAGTTCCTGTACGAAGTTGTAGGGTTAAGGTTACCGAGACTATGCTTGAAGCATCAACTAGGGCTCTAAATCCGAAGCCCTAAACCCTGAACTGACATGCAGACCTTGAGCCGTAAGTTACAGACCGAACCTGAGTCTAACACCTTCGTGCAGGGTGCGGCAGCGAAGTTGCGTCGGCGACATGCTTCCCTCGTGCTTGGGTCCTGCTGCGCGGTCTTGCGGGCGGACTTTCAGGGGGATCTGGGGCGAGTCTAGGCTTAGGGGGATTTCAGCTGTGGGTTGCACAGCGCGGTTCGCCGTCAGTCTTGGATATTCTTAGTCCGAACCCGAACCGAACGGCGCAACAAAGTTTTGGTTTTCAGGTTCGTGGAGAGTTTCGGCTTCAAAGGAAACAGAACGATGAGAGGAAAAAGACACTCGTGCTGAGTTGTCGTTTTTCTATGTTGTCGTCGTCGTCGTTGTTGTCGTCGTTGTTGTAGTCGTTGTTGTAGTCGTCGTCGTTGTTGAGGTCGTTGTCGTTGTCGGTGGTGTTGATGGTGTTGATGGTGGTGATGGCGGTCATGGTGGTCATGGTGGTCATGGTGGTTATGGTGGTGCTGCTGCTGTTGCGTGTCGGAAGTGGCGGCGGTCGTTGCATCCTTGTTGCAGCGATGGCGACGACTGATAGCGAGTGCTCGTCGTCGCAGTGACAGAGTGTCGCTCTTGTCAAGCCGCTGTTCTCTCTAAGTGATCAGTGATTCCGAGCTTCATGATAGAGTCTGATGGAGTTGATGAACAAGCGCACGATGACGATAGCTATGGTTATGGTAGATTGCTCATCGAATAGAACCGGATGAAGAAGACAAACAGAGCTGGTAGCATGAGGATGATGAATAGGATGGAGTTGTAACCCACATGCCACTAAACCCTAAACCCTAAACCCTAAACCCTAAACCAAAACACTACAGCCAAGAGAGTACAGCTAAGCCTGAACTGCCAGAGCCTAGAACTTCAACCCAACTCGAAGCCCGTGCCGCTCCATCGTCATCTCGCTTTAGGGATTCGGGTTTAGGGTTTAGGGTTTAGGGTTTTGGGATTTGGGTTTTGGGTTTAGGGCTGAGGGCCGGGGGGCTTTAGGGCTTAGGGTGCTGCCATCTCTGCTGGATCTAGGACATTTTCAGGTGGGTAGCTACCGGTATAGGAGCCTTATAGAAGGCCTATATACCTTGTAGGAGCCTTATAGAAGCCCTATATGCCCTAAACTCCCCACCTGTACTTTCCTTTAAGCCAGGCGCTGGCATGCGTCGTGGTCGCTCCCGCCTTCCTGCCGGCAGGCGGCCCGACGAACCTGGAAGTTCAAAGTAGCATTAGTTTATATAATGTTTAATAAACTAAAAATATATATATATATACATTTGTATATGTGGTCGATTTTATAATGATTACATGATTACACTTTATGGTATCTTGGATTTGCAACAAGACCTATTGAATTATTATAATGGGCTTTGATAACATACGGCCTTTTGGCGGGATCTTTGCACCAAGGCTCCCTGCGAACTTGTAGTATGGACCTTGAATCTTCGGAACCTCCCATGTAAGTGGGGTTTAGGGTTTAGGGTTTAGGGTTCAGGGTTTAGGGTTTAGGGTTTAGGGCAACTACATGTACGACGGGTCGCGCTATTTATCCAAGGAAGAATGCTGCTCGAGCATGGACATGCAACTGGCCTGTTCCCATCAGAGCCAGGATAATCTCCAGCAGGAGATAGTGCTCTGCTTGGAAACGGGCAACTCCTAAACCCCAAGCCCGAAACCAGACCATAAGCAATGCTTCGAGGCAGTTGTATGGATTTTTTGGGGCTCTGTGTGTTTCGCAACAGCGGGCCTCTGTCGGTTCATTATCCTGCTGGAATGATGCACGTTCAGCGTTTAGGGTTTTTGGTTTGAGGTTCAACCCTAGACCCTAAACCTTGAGGTGTCAGAAAAACACGCAGCAAACGATTTCCACCAGCCCCCAGTCACCAAGCAAACCCGTGGATTCTCGACCCTAAGATTCCTCCCCCTTCCCCAAACAAGCAAAGCACAGATCAACACACAACTATGTACATGCGCGTATGTATATATATATATATATAAGTACGTGTGTGTGTGTGTGTGTGTGCGTGTATGTCTGTATGTATGTATGTATGTATGTATGTATGTCTGTATGCATGTATGTATGTATGTATGTATGTATGTATGTATGTACGTATGTATGCATGTGTGTATGTGTGTACGTATCCATTAGGTATATGTGTAGAGTGTAGATGTACATGCACAATGTATATGTATGTATGTATGTATGTATGTATGTATGTCTGTCTGTATGTATGTATGTATGTATGTATGTATGTATGTATGTATACATGCAAGTATGTATGTATGTATGTATGTATGGATGTACGGATATATGTATGTATGTATGTATGTATGTATGTATGTATGTATGTATGCATGTACTTACTAGGTTCTATATACAAACGGCATGCCGACACTTCGAGTTTTACCCTAAATCCGACGCCCCTCAACCCTAAACCCTAAACCCTAAAGCCTCAACCCTAAACCCTTAACCCTCAACCCTAAACCCTCAACCCTGAACCCTGAACCCTGAAGAGTCCTAAAGCCTTCCGGGGAGGCCGCGGCGAGCAAGCTGGCCTGCAGGCGACTTTGATACTCCTTTTTGGGGATTCAGGGAGGGGTTTAGGGCTTAGGGTCTAGGGCTTTGGGCTTCGGGTTTTGGGGCGTGAGGGGTTTAATTAGGGGTTTCGGGGTTTAGCTCAAAGATTCATCGGTTTAATTCGCGCTTCAGGCTCCGGGGGTGTAGGGGTTGGGGGAAGGCGAGGTCCCCATCTCTCCACCACCTTCTAGAATCTTGAGTAATTAGGTATTATTGCTATGGTTTTTGTTATTTTTTATACCAATTGTATGCTTAGTCTTATTCTCATTTTCAATAGGCTCTAAACCTAGCTGCATATCCTGTGCCGACGAGGAAAGCCCCGAGCCTGAGTCTGGAATCCCAACGCCAGAAACTCAAGCAGACCCCTTAACCCTAAAGCCTAAAACCTAATATGGGTAGTTCTCTAGATTAGGGTTTAGGGTCCCCATTATAGTACGGCACCGTTATTAAAAAGGACTCCAAAAGAGACCCTAATTTAGAAAACTACCCATATAGGGGCCTTAGTAACTGGAGTAGGGTTTTGGGTCCCACTATATATTATAATCATGATAAGGAGGCGCCAAAATAGTATTGGTAATTATTTGAGTCCCTACATTAGGCGTATCGGCTGGCAGGCACTGCACGTGCAAGCCCATTGTAGCTTTACTTTTCGCAGCCCCTTTCTGAAGGCTCTTCCGTTTTAGGGTCCTGGAATTTCTTGGGTTTCTGAGGATTCATATACATACACATCTGTACAGTATTGCATGTATGAAGCTGCGTATACACACATGTACAAATATGCACGTATATACATACGTAGGCAGGCAGGCAGGCTCAGAAAGAATCAAAGACAGATGACAGGCAGACATAACATGTACATAGACATGTGCATAGACATGTCCTAGACATATACATGTACATGTATATGTAAATATTGGTATACATATACATGGACATGTTTGACATAGTTATGTGTATGTGTGTATATATATAT